TTTAAACCACATTGTCTGCCAGAAATAGAAATGTAGAAATGCCTCGGGGAGCCCATTTTGGCAGTTTCCTTCAAGGCTCCTATTACAAGCATTAGTCTGCTCTCTAATCCCCCGTCTTTATTCTGCTTCTCCTGTTTTCCTTCATCTCCCCTACTCCCTTTTCAGCACTGGAGTCAGTCCCCTGTTTCTTGGAGGGACAGATGCTGTAGCAGTCAGGGGTCTTGGTTTCTGACACCAGAAATTGACTCTGTTAAGCAGAAAAAAAAAAAAAATATTGGAAAGCCATCAAGTAGTTCACAGAATCGACAGGAAGCCTGGAGACTCTGGCTTGGCCGACAGGCACCAAAGGAGACGGGCACTCGGGAAGACTGTGGAGGTCATGCCCTGAAAGCGTCTCATGTGGAACCAGGTCACCAGCCTCACAGCCACGGTGACGAACAGCTGGCACGCTGGGTAGGCGCACGCTCTCAGCGAGGGCTGCCCACTCCCTCAGCTTCCTGGTGCAGGCGGGCAAGCCCAATGCCAAGGCTGGCAGAGTGGCCTCCTGAGCTGTGGTTCTGGCTCACAGCAAAGGACGTGGCAGCGCAGAGCCAGTTCGGAGTAGGCTTTCCAGCATGAGGAAAAAGGGGACCTCAAGAAACGCTGGAGGCTAGCAGACACCAGGTGTCCCGGTCACCCCTCATTTTAAACCCACCCTATTTCTGGTGCACGGATGGGGAGCTCTGTACTTCCAGGCTGAGTGGGAATAACTTTGGGAGAAGGAAAGCGGTTGGGCAGTATACAAGTCAATTATGCCAGTTCCAGAAAGAGACTAGAAAGTGAAATTCCACTGAAGTTATAGGCTGTACGGTCTGCTCAGTGGTTTCCTACTTCCTTTGTCCTGGACAAACAAGGAGCCGCAGTTGCTCATGTGAACAGATTCTTCATGTGTCTTCAGATTCTATTTAACCCATTTAAATGCCAGTGTCAAAGCTCTATTCCTTTGACCTCCCACATCTTAACCCTTAATGGAGCTAGAGAACACTTTCTAGGGATGCAATTTGTAACATGATGCCTGGCTGGGTGCAGGGGCCGCTTTGCTCCTCCTGCCAGCTGGTCCCAATTATGAACTGGTTTGGGTAATTTGAGAGTGTGGCGGGTGTCTGTGCAATAGGAGTCTTTTCTAAGCACTTAGCTTCCCTTACGATCCTCAACCGAGCTAGAATTCATGGATCCTTGAATATTCTGAATTACGAGGTGATTGTTGACGGCTTTCCAGAAAAAGGAAATAAAATATATAAATAAAATCACTAGCTGCCAAGGCAGAGTGAAGAATGAAGGCAGCTGTTGTTCGCACAAAGCTCGGATGGCGCCTACGCATCTGGAACGATGGCCTCAGTTTCCCTCCATGTTTTCATGGGGTCGGCCTGTGTTTCCTTGGTGGTGGGTGACACCCAGACAAATCTCTGGGGACGCACCAGCCCAGTCTCAAGGGGCCACACTTGTGTTCATGTTTGTGTGGGTTTTTTTTTTTTTTTTTTTGGTTGAATTTTATCGAGCAGCTGTTCCATGAGGCACTGCAGATTCAGGGAATTCACAACTAGAGGAAGCTCATGGTCCAGTTCATGGACCTCAGCCAGCCCGTGGCACCCAAGACGGTGGAGGGTGGAAGAGTCAGCCCTTGGCCGAGAGGAGCATTTGGTCACTGACATTGTTTAGAATTGCCATGGTGCATGGCAATAATACAAACCAGATGGCTTTCAGTTGATTTTATCATTATTATTTAGACTCTCCACAGACTAGCACACCCCATATGACCTGTACCTGGGCTGCCTTCTCCCACTGGCCCACTCACCCTTCTCTTCTGCTTCCAACCAGCCTGCAGTTAAGGCCACCGTCATAGGCACTTGGTGTATGAACAGGGTGAGTATGTGCTCCATCAGCAGATTAATGCCAGTCTCTGTTGCATGGACTTGATCTTTGTGGGCCCGACTGAGTCACTCCGCTCCGCCCCACTCCTTGAGTCTCATGATCAGCGTTTATAAGCCAGCTTCTTTTTTAAAGTTATGATTTCATGTCTGTGGCCCAAGTGTTTTCAGGTGTAGAGTGTGGCTATGCATAACACTTCCTAGAAGACTTGTAGGGATTAAATGAGAGAATGCATGTAAAGCCCAGGGCACTGGTAAGCACTGAATAAATGTTAGCTGATATTTTACCCTTGCTCTATTAGAAGATATTACTATACAGCACTCAATTCCATAAAATCTTGCTGTAACATTTTGTTCAAACTCATTAATTAGAAAAATCATGAGTGAAAAGGGGATAACACAGGAGAGAGACAGAGGTTGGCACCAAGCCAACCAAGTCAGTGCAGATACATGCTGAGGGCCTCTCGCCTAGACTCTGTACCCATACATCTGGGGTGCCCAGAAGATGGAGAGTGTGCCTTGGTTCCTGTCCTTGCTCCAATGTTACCCACATCCAACATCACCCATTAATATTTCCTCCCTGAATTCTTATGCCAGTGAATGCCAAATGGTGGCTTTCTAGTGCCACTATTTTTTCTACATTCATTAGTTGACTTTCTACTATAAGAAATGATTTCCTCACATGTATTTGTTTATTGCTATGACTATATTGGGGTAGACTCATAAGTGCCTACTTTGCTCAGTGAGTCATTATTTATTTGATTCTCAAATAAATATTTATTTGAGCCCAGATTTGGTTAATAGGAACACCTTCAGGATAGTTTCTGTGTCTTTTTGACAAGTCCTCATTGTTCATGGGGAAATTTCTTACATTCTAGTACAGGAAGATGTCCCAAACCCATCTCATTCCTTTCCTGCCCCAGCCCTGGAGTCAGACATTTGTTCAAGGAAACCAAGATTCCTTGGACTAGAGTGGAGAAGGGTATTGGAAACCAAGATCTGAGTATTAAGCATATTCCTTGGGATTTGGGGTGTCATCCTCCTAGTTCTTTCATTCAACAGACCTAGAAAACATGTGTGATACATTGACATTTATACCTCCTTTCATTTCTCTTTTATCTATTGATTATCAATTGTGGAGGTATCATTTAATAAAGTAAAAACTTAGTCTCCAAACTTTGTTCAGCTGAACAATGCTGGGAGACACAGAATAAATAAGGAAGGGGAATGGATAGAGTTGCCATGGGAACCTGGCCCTCCATCCACATTACCAATAGTGGGCTAGCAAGAATCTGGACACAGAACCAGGAGGACCCTCCTGTATGAAGGCCCACCTACACCTGATATCCCAGCAGAGAGCAACCAACAGAGACCGAGTCCCCAGTCATGAAAATCCCACCAAAACAGCTTACAAAAGGGAGCCCCAAATCCTGCTAAGCGTGCAAACTTCTCCCACCTCACCCACTGCTTCTCTTAGCAGTGTATTTCAATAAATCTACCTTGTCTGTTCTCCACCCGTGCCTTCAGCCTCACCCTGATATTTTTCCCCACTCCATCAATTATCTATCTATCTATCTATCTATCTATCTATCTATCTATCTATCTATCTATAATAAATATTTTTCATAGACTGGAAGAAAAGGGAAGAGAATGAAATGAGAAGTAAGAGTGGAGTTACCTTTTGATTTGCATTTTAGAAACTAAATGACAGATTTATTAGGAAAGACTACACTTCAGGAGCAGCCAGATGGCAGACAAGCATAGGGCAAGGTGCAGGGAAGGGGCTCAGGCACCCACCCTCTGCAGACACAACGCTACCCCTGCATTTCCAAGTGTTCACAGCTCAGAAGCTTTCCAAGCATGACATCCATTTTAAAAGAACACTTTGGCAGATTCGCAGATACAGAATGGAAGGGGAACAAGAGTGGCTTCTCTGCTTTCTCATCTTGGCATCTCTAGCGCTGTTAGCAGGCACTCTATAAATGTTTAGAGAAGGAAGGAAAGGTGGGGGAGGAGCACGAGGAGGGAGGCCCAGGGGCTTCCCCAGAGGGATGCACCATAGATTAAGCCGGTGTTTTTCTTTTCTGCGTTGGGAGTTGCTTCACTGTAGTCAAGGACAGAAATCACATGGAAGGGCGTCTTCCCTGTTCTAGAAGAACCTCTTAAGAGGCTTCTTGCGCTTGCTTACATAAATGTAATCGTGTTGGGCCCATTGTTCTGTAAAAGGATAAATCATCGAATAGCAGAGTCCTTGCTCAGAGACGAGTCACTCACAGCCACTCTTAGTCACATGAAGGTGGGACAAGTGGGCCTTTGTCCTGAGAGAAGTCGCAGCAGGGTTTTTTGTTCCCCCGCCGCACTCCCGTTACTGTAAAACCTTCTCTCATCCTTCCTGTGCAGATCTGAAGGCCCTGGAATTGGAGGTCCTGTTTTCCAGAGAACCCGGTGCCCCCAGGGAGGAAAGTATTAAAGTGCAAATCCTTGCTCTCTGAGGTTCAGGTTAGGAGTTTACCCCAGGGTGGCGTGACTCCTGGGGGAGGCCGTAAAGTTCCCAATAGACTACAGATCAACTGGTGCTCCTGGACCTTGCTAGCTAGCTTCACCAGCGCCAGCATCCTCCTTAAGTGGAAGGAACCAGCAGGGGCCAAATGCTGGCATCAGTGCTGAGTCTACTACATGACCAGCTTGACACAGAGTAGGGGCGTGTGTGTGTGTATGTGTGTGTGCGCGTGTGTGTGCATGTGCAAAAGACTTGATTGATAATTGCTGTAAACCAATGGTGTCCTAAAACTGGCACACAAGTGCTTGCAAAAACTGTTAACTTCATAAGAATGTTGCAAGTGGTTATTAAATACAACTTTTATTAAATATTAAATTATGTAAACTTTCAATTAAACAATGATATGAAAAACAATGGTAATGAATGTTCAAATATCACTTACTCCTTATTTTGCTACATTTTATTATTATCTCTCCTCTTGGGGTTATTTACATTTATTGTAGCTGTAAGATGGAAATTTTATATTTAACAGTGAGGCATTGTGCATCCCCAACTCAGCATTCTGTGATGTCATATTGGTAGCTTGGAATCAGCCATAGGTGAGCGTATTTACACCATGGGAATTGACAAACCATTCATCTGAGTATCTCTCCTATCCCCCCCACCAGTCCCCAGGAATGCAGTTTTTAAACATTCAGCTGCACACCCAATCAACCGTAACCCCTAAGCCTTGTTAATTCAATTCTTACTGGATAAGGCAGTTGAGGGTGTGAGGATCTCATGGCTGAAACACCAAGAGTCACCCTGAAGCTCTGGAACCCGAGACACAGGCATTATCTCTAACTCTCCAGGCTTGAGTAATTCTGGAACTGCTTCAACCTCCTGAAATTCTTAGGTTCTGCCAAAAAGTCTCGACCACTATGGAGTTTCTGATTCAACTTTCCTCCCTGCAACAGTCTAAGTCACCTTGTGGTAGCATTGCTCCCTAGCCTGATTTTCTACTGTCAAGTGTTCATGAGATGCCACCTTGGAAGAAGGAACAGGAAGAGAAATGCCATCCTTTCCTCTGCTCATTTGGTTGTGAGTGTCCATTTTTGAGCATAGCGTGCTGAGGGGGATGGGAGGTGCTGCTGCGAAGCCTAGCACTGGTGGCTGTTCAGCAGGAGGGGACTTTGCACAACCGCCATCTTTCAAACATGACCCATATTGGCCAACTCACCGGCCAGCATCTCTCTGTCCAGTAAGCATATTGAGTGGCCCTGGCTGAACTGGATACTTGATTATACTCTGGGATCCTTGAACATGAGATAGTGGCTACAGATTTGGAAGGGGGAAGCTGATTTCTCCCTTTAGATGTCCTCCTATTACCTTTATTATTTTTTTAATAGATTTATTTATTTATTTATTTATACAAGAACTGGGGTATAGTCCAGATGCGAGGGAGGGTGAGAGGATTCACCAGAGACAAAGTGGGGAACAGAACAGGCAGACTGACGAAATAAACTGCTGAGGGGAGCAGCGGGTGAGACAGGAGAGGTCTGCCGCGCCATGTGGGACCCTCCCCGGCCGGCTGGGATGGAACTAGCACTGCAGAGGCTGCGGACAGCTTCACAGCACAGTGTTCAACCGCCTGTGCCACCAGGGGAGGCCCCTGCTATTACCTCTATATGGGATTCTGAATGATGACCCTTAAGAACCAAACTGGGCACGTTATTGGCAACTCAGACTGGGTAGGGAGACTTCTACTTAATAGGAAGGGAGGAAAGAGGAAGAGAGAGAGAGGGCAGGAGGGAAGGAAAAATTAGGGCATTAGGAAGAAGTGCCGTATATTCCCTGCACACTGCTCCATTGACAGCTTTCTCCATTTTGATTAAAAGTATCTTCATTTACCAACGTCTTAAATCTTGGTGTCACTTGGTATCATCTTTGATTTTTCTCTTTCTCTCCCATCCCAAATTCAGTCCATCATCACCTACTTTCCAAAAAAAAAAAAAAAAAAGGAGAGAATTCATCCTCTTCCTTACCATTCACCATCTGGATCTGCACCCCCAGATCCCTGTCACCATTACCTCTCTCCTGCAGGGTCACAGAAGCTCCTGACTACTCCGTTTCTGCCTCCCTCTTCTCTGTTTTGAACACAGCAACCAGAGTGATCCTGTTCAATCATAAACCAAATGACCTCACTCCTCAGCTCAAAGTCTTTCTGTAGCTCCCCTCTTGTCCAGAATGAAGACCAAAGTCCTTCCCCTGACTGGCAAGACCCTGCTGAGCTGCATCTCCATCTTCTTTAACCTCATATCCTCTTGCTCTGCCCCAGCTCAGTCCAGTGCCAGGGCTCTGCTCCCCTGGCCACTTTTACAAGGTACCCACTTGACTAACTCCCCACTGTTCTTAGTCCTTCACTCAAAAATTAGCTTCTTGGAGAACCTTCTGGCTACCCCAGCCAGGACTTCTCTATCCCTCATACTTCACACTCCCCTCTTCTACTTCATTTTCTTCCCTTGGCTTCTATTGCTGTCTGTAATTTCTCTTTTTTATTGGCTCTCCTCCAGGCACATGGGTTCACGAGGGCACATTTTTTAAATTATTTTTGTTCACTGTCCAGATTCTAGAGCCTAGCTCCTGTAAATGCTCATTTCAATTCTCTGTTGTTACATCATAAACAATCCTCAATGACTTCACACAACAGCCCATTACAATCTCACAGCCTCCTGGGTTGACTGGGCTCAGCTGGATGGTTCTTCGTTGGGAATCTTTCATTTGCAGTCAAATGGCAGCTGGGATTGAAGTCACTGCTGGCTGGGAGTTTAGTTGGGTCTGTGGTCTGGAGTTGCCTGCACATGGATGATCCAAGTTCGTTGGGGGAGACGTCTTTGAGGATTAGCTACCACAAGATTCAATAAAGAGTTGTGGGTGGACGGCAGGCAGGAAGGGAGGGGAGGTGGTAGAAGGGAAGGACTTGGAAAATTGAGAAAGAAAAATATCAGGAAGGGAAAGAGATCAGAAGGAAGGGAGGCTATAGCAAGAAAGGGAACTCAATTTCCATTTCTGCATCTGAGGATCATATGCTGGCTCTGGAATAAAACCCATCCTTTTCCTGCCTCATGCGCCTCTCCCATCTCCTTCATGTTGACCTGGCTTGGAAGCAGAAATTCATCTAACACCGCATATCGGAACTGGAGTACTCTTGGCAGAATCTTTACAGCTTATACCCCAAGTTCAAATTTGAGCCAGGGCATATTTCCAAGGGAAGAACAACACGCCACTTTATCTTGATGTAGCTCTTTCCTCTTGGTAATTTCAAAGCCGTTTATAAACAAGCACTATCATTGTATGAGACAGGAAACGGAAGGGAACTAGTAATATTTAGGTAACCAATAGCAAAATCATAGAATCAGTGTTAGGCCCAGGTGATTAAGTAATGATGTGGAATGAGAGGCAGGCTTCAGTGGCATCAAATAATTAAATAATTCGGAAGAAAGAGAATACAAAAATGTCCACCTAAAAACTGAAGTCAGTGGAGAGATACAGAGTTAAAAAGTAAAAAATAGATTTATCCTAAACCAGATGGAACAAAATTTAAACAGTTGTTGGTATATTAAGAATGGATTTACTTATAAAACAGTTTGGAATGCTTTAGTCATTTCCAGAGCCACAGATATCCTGTGCCAGTGGGCAATTTTTCCTAAACCAACCTGGCAGACAGCTGTCTAATAAGGGGACTTGCAAACCATTTCCCTGGCTATAACCCAGGCAAGTTAATGAATCTGGGCTCCAAAAGCTCTCACGTCTCCATACAGAAGCTACTAAAGTTTTCTGGAGATATTGGTCATGGTGTCAATTCACTAGAGAAAGTGAATTTCCGGAGAGTCCTCTAACTTAGGTTTCATAGGACAAAGTGACATCATGTTTACTTCAATTCATGGCCACTCTGAACAATTTGTGGTCTTTGACCTCTAAAATAAGCTCATTTTAGGAAAATTGGGTTAACTCAAGAAAGAAATGTCTCATATATTAGGATTAGGTTTGGCAACGGGATGTTAAATTCTCCTTACCTTTGTCACCTACCAAACAACCCCTTCTCCTCCTCCAAAAAAATCCAATAACTTAAATAACATATTATATAAACCTGGATAAGTGGTTAACAAATTGTAAAGGGTTCCAGAGCATCATGGGCTTAGATTCCTTTTCCTTCATTTTCTGCCTTGTATATTCTCTAGTTCCCAAAACATGTCATGGCCCAAAATAGCTGCTTTAGCTCCAGCCCTCACATCCTCATTCCAGGCAGGAGAAAGAAGAAAAAGGCAAAGAAAAGGGAATCCCTGTGTCCTTTAATAACACTGGCTAAAAGTTGCTAAATTGCTACTTACATCTAATTTATGAGACCTGAATCATCTGACCTTACCTGGTTGGGTGGGAGTTGAAAAGACTGGTGAGATGATAAGGTTTCCAATACTGTGGGATAGAGGAAAACAAATGTCTTGAGGGTAATTAGGAAGTCTGTGCCACAGTTTACTCCTTTGACTTCCCAAAAATATATGTACCCATTTTCCCACACATAAGACGAGCTGCCTCCCAAAGAAAAAGAACTCCAAAACCTTTCTTTTCAAGCTGGACTGCCCCCAGCGCTCAATCAAGATCTCTTGTTGAAGTGTTTGAGTCTAGATGTGATGTTACACAGTCTTGCAAACCACAAATGAAAAGTCTTGCTATCTGCTCCCTGCGGCATAACGTATACAGTTATGGCTTAAGATTAGGAAAGCCACAATTAAATCTACCATTCAGAAAATGTGAAACCCCCAGAAGTCAGTCTATAGCAATTAGCAAATCCTGCTGAGTCAGAATGGAGGAGACTGTTTTCTCACACAGAAGCGGTCAGCCGATGGCCTCTGGGCAGTTCCTCTGTGTCCATTAACCCCCACGGCTGTGGTGAAGGCAGGAAGGAGCAAGTATGCCCTTTGGGGGTTGCGCAGTGTCCATTGGCTGTTTCCTGCTGATGCAGATTTGGAGACATATGGGTCGCTTTAGACATTGAATAGTCACAGGCTTCTGCAGGGCAGACTTATGGTTTCTTTGGCAATGAAATTCCTTGGGCATCCATTTGCCTTCTCTCAGTTCCATTCATGAATAACAACAGCCAAAGATCTTGTCTAAAATTAGTTTTTAAGCTTGAAGATTTAGGGCTTTTACTTATAGAACTTTGTCCTCTGTCCAATGCTCCTCCCAACTCCCTCACCCCTGCAATTGAGGGCAGTTAGTTGAAGCTATCATAGGAAACACTATATTTTGTTGTTTTTTAAAATTATTTTATGTATTTTTTACATCATTTTTTCACTTTTATGCAATATATGCATTTTCATCTCAGTTATAGTCCCCGTGAATTCCCACCACCCATTCACCTGTGCATCATCACCATAGTCCCTTGTGCTCCTCCCTGCCCTGTTCTGATCCTACTCCTTTCTCCCCCGCTGCAGAATGTCTCTGGTTTCTGGTTGCCTCTTGATTTTTATTTTTACTTTATTATAATTACTTTTTTCTCCCTGATCCCTTTTTTGAATCCTCTACATTCCTCCTATAAGTGAAACCATCCGCTATTTTTCTTTTTCTTTCTGGCTTATTTCACTGAGCATGATCCCTTCCAGCGCCATCCATGTTGCTGCAAATGGTATGAGTTTATCTTTTTTGATTGTTGTAATACTCCATTGTGTATATGTACCACGTCTTCTTGATCCAGTCATCTATTTTTGGGCATTGAAAACACTAAATTTTGGAAGGAAACATCTCTAACTTGGTATTAGCAATTAAGATAGCACCCAATGTCTCACAGAGAAATTTTAATGGCTCTTACCTGAGTGGAACTTATGGCAAATTTAGAGCTTCTGCCTATGATATATCATTTTTTTTGGGGGGTGGGGAGGTGATTCAGAATGTTCCTTTTTACTTTCAAGTTCCCAAACCATTAGACCACTAGTCACTTTAGAAGGCAGACAAAAGGCAGAGACCATATTCTTTACCATTTTCTTCACATCTTAAAAATATGGTAGATTTAGCTTAAGTTTCTTGCTCTTGCTACTGCTCAAGGATTTTTAGAATTCTGTAATGATGATAACCATCCCCCCAAATCCTCGTATCAATTTTAGGCTTTAGCTAAGATAGGCAAAATCGCTACCAGAAGCAGGCCGAATAATTTCATCAGGTTAATCCAAACGACATGTATTTTCCTTTCATGCAACAGTCCAGAAGATGTGTGCAGAGATTCCAAATCCCACCCATCCTGAGCCTGGGTCCTCCTAACACAGCAGCCACACAAGTGAAGCATTGCCGGTGGGTCCACCTCCATCTGCACGAAGGAAGGTAATTTTACTAGGTAATCAAAACTCAAGAGTTTTCAACCAGCAGAGTGCTGTGTGTGTGCGGCAGCAGGACTTCTGTATGAGAGAATGTCCACTTTCTAATTGCGAGATTGGCTTCCCTCAAACTCCTAGTCTGGGAGCCACTGGGCGCTTTGTACAACCTGCATTTGAAACCCCACACTCCCATTTTTTATTACCCATGAGATTTTGGGCAAATAACTTTTCTGAACTTACATTATCCTACTTGTAAAATGCAGATTTAAAAACCTACCTACTTGTTGTGTAGATGTGTAACCCTATCCCAGCAGCATCTGGGAGCTGAGTCTTGCCAGACCTGAGTATAGGCTGGTCTGGGCTTTTCCCCTTTGGTATCTGTCTCTGGGATTAAAAATGAATCAATCATGTGTGAGCTAAATGGGCCAATCAGGTTCAAGCCCACTCCACTAGTCAATTATTTGGATTGAAAAATGGAAAACAAGCTGATTAGTACTAAGTGGTCCAACTAGAAACTTAGGGTTGAAAACCATCCAATCAGGCTTGTAGGGTGGGGGGGCCCTGAAGGGGATGTAAGGCAGAACAAGAGCCTGCTCAAGGGAGTCTCCAGTCAGCCTTTGAAGAGAGAAGTATTCATTCTCAGCCCACCTTTGAAGAAGAAGCATTCATCAGCCCACCTTCGAAGAAGGAGTCTGTTCCCAGCCTCTGAAGAGAGAGACACATGGAGACACATGGAGCAGTCCATGACCATGGGATTCTCCAGACCTCTGCAGACCTTTGTAGACCTTGTAGACCTTCGTAGACCTTTGGAGGCTACTAAACCCCCAGATCTCTGCAGAACTTTGCAGAAACTTAGCCACTGCACCTGCCTCTGACACGGCCTGAAAAGAGCACTGTGGGGCTCGGCCCAGCATCTCAAAGAGCTGACCCAGCCTCTGGGTCTCTGGCACGACCTCCTGGTGCTGTTGGGTTTGTCGTCGTCTGGTTCAGCCTCCGGCCCAGACTTGAGACTGCTGTTGCATCATCTCACCTTCCACGCACGGCCTTTGTTTGGGAGTTCTGGGCACTGTGCACATTATCTGGGGTGAGATATTTGGCCACTTGTGTCCTCAAAGAATCTTTCCTCTTCCCAATCTCTTGTTTGTTAAATAAACCCCGTTGCTGGGCCCGGAGCCTGAGCGGTCTTGCAATTGTGCCTGGGGGTGAGTGATGTGAGCTCTACCTCAGGTGCTGCTCCTTCGTTCTTTTTGAACACTGAGTCCTGTTGAGCACTCTTTTAAGAGTCTTTTGCACTGTTCCAGAAGTATTATTACATATAATGTTTGGCATCTAGTATATACATAACATACATAATGTTATATATAAATGTTGGCATTTAGTATGTGTTTAATAAATGGTGGCTATACTTACTTGAGGATGTTAGAACTTGGGTTTTGGTTGGGCAGACCTAGGTATGGTTCCTCATTCTGCCCTTTGCTAGCTGGCACTAAGGACAAACCCTCCTTGTCAGTTTCTCATCAATTAAATGGGACTCCTAAGAGCTATCACACACTATGCTTGATGATTAGACACAAAAGGACAATTAGAATCTAGCATAGCAACTAGCTTATTAGTCATTCACTATGTCTTCACTTTTTAAACTTTATGTTCTTTCTGATTAACATAGCAATGCTGCTCAATTAAGTTTGGAAAATGCAAAAGCTTAGAAAGGAGAAAAAAAATCGACCTAACTTCCACTACTCGGGGTGACACTGACGATGTTATAGTTTTGATGATTTCATTTCAGCCTTCCTTTTCTATTAGGCTATTATTTTTAAGGCTGTGGACTGCGGGGTACCCTTTGATTCTACACACAGGTAGTTCCCCACGCCGTTATGAAAGGGAAGCCAGAAGTCTCTACCAGTGTGAAAAGAACTCTCCCATTAGAAACAAAAAGGTCCACTTACTATATAGGGATTTCCAAGGGAAAGAAGGGCAGCTGTTCCTAAATTAGTCTAGGTTTGTGCCACCCTGGAAAGAGCCAAGCCCCAGGGAACAGGAGGCAGTGGAGGGGAGGGTGCAGGGAGGCGGCTGGTTCTGGGGCTACTGAGCAAGCTGGACCAATTCACAGTTTCGCCTCCCCTCCGGCTAGTCTGCGGGGGACACTGAGTGCTCCTCGCAGTGAATAGGGTATTCTAGTCACAGAGGGCTGTGAGATCTGGCAAAGAGCACAAGGCAAGAAATGCAGACAGAAACACTTAAAAATTGCAGCTTGCCACTGGGCAGAAATGAAATCCCAAACTCTGGATTAGCATATTCTGATCTACCCAGTTGAACTAGAACAAAGATCAAAAATTTTATTGGACAGCTAACAGTCAAGACTAATTTCTTCCTCAATGGACTGTGCAGAATTGGCACTCCAGGACTATATTTATAATAATCAGGGATAATCTAATAACAGAAAAACAGACCAGTTTGTCATTTTTAATTTCCATACCTCCCCTTACTATTACCCTGCCTAGACATTTTGCAGTAGTCTTTAAAATGTAAATTTACCTGCGGCTATTCATCCTGCCTATTCTAATGCCTGTCAAAGGGAGATGAAAGAAAGCTGTACCCAGGCATCTGAGATCTTCCTCTCAATCAGTAAAATCTTCCGTGGAACCTTGCACTACTCAAGCAAGACAGATCTGAGCTGTTGATATGGCTACAAAATGTGACCTACTTTAAAACCCAGCAGTATGTGTGTGATGAAATGAAAGCGAATTGTTTTGCTGAAATCTGACACTAAAAATAGGGCACCGGATCCTTCCCCTGCTGGAAAAAAAAAAAAAAAAAAAGAGAGACATTAAAATGAGTGTGTGTCTGTATGTCTGGGAATATGTCTCCATGGCAACCATTGTCCCACCTCCCCGATCAACAGCATTACCCCTCCACAGAAGAAAGAGGTCAGATGAACAACGCCTTTCCCAGCACCCTCCCAATCCCTTACTCCATGAAATCTAATTAAAGAGTGAAATGAATTTTAGCGATGGTTCTAGAGGCTGGGAGAAGTCCAAAGTTGGTGGGGGCAGGGGCAGGCGGCTGAAGGAGCATCATTGCACGGAGGACAGAGGACTGGAGACCGGCCCTTCCACCCTGGAGCAGCAGCTGGAAAGTCTGTTCTCATTTTTAAAAAGCGCTGGAGCTCCCACGCTGAGGAGCTGCAGGGGAGTGATAAAGCTGCCACGCACGACGTTATTACTTTAATGGATACGGGGCTGGTGGAGCACTTTCTTTCCACTAGGGCTTTCGCACGTGGTGTATTCTTCCCTTACACAACATTCCCTTTTCCTCAGACACCCCTCCCCCTTTATTAAGAACATTGTCCCCATTCCTAATCCCTCTTGGGTGAGGGGAAAGCCAGCATTCCTTGAGACAATAGGGCTGTTTCTAGAATGAGGTGTGAAACACAGTGCGAAACCCTTTTTTGGAGAGATTAGAAGTCAAAGAATAGGGGGAGACGGAAGGGTAGGGGTTGAGGAACACTCTCTGGGGAGCTTGGAGCTAATTTGTGCAAGCGCTTCAGGGTTTTTTTTTTTTTTAAGCATCTGCTGGGGATGGCCCTTCTTCCTTTCCACAGCTGCCTGCCTCCTGCCTCCCCTCCACCCCCCCCCCCCTCCCCCCCCCCCCCGCCTTGTGTCCAGTCAGCAGCAGCCAGGGGCAACCCCTCGCTCCCCCTTTCTTTCCGTGGCTGTCTGGGCATCTGTTCTTCTTCCTGCTTCCAGAGTTTGTCTCCAGGTTGGGTGTCAGTCTGGCTGTGTGTCACTTGGGATCCCAGCTGGGGCAGAATTGTCCTCACGTGAAGACAGAGTCAGATCTGGGCTTGCCTCACTGGCAAGCGGAAGGCAGGTGGCAGGAAGGCCAGTGGGGACACCGAGGTGTGAGGGGCGAATCTGCCATGGCCCTCAGGCCGAGCACTGACACAGCGGTGAGGAGGAGGGACAGTGTGAAGAGCAGCACCACGGCTGACCCTCTGACTTGTCCCTGACCTGTTGGGACCAAGCGTGAATGGGCTGCACGCATACAAAAGGGAAGGCCATGCTTTCCCAGAACAGGGTGGCAGAGCAGAGTGGCAGGCGTGTGCCCCTGGCACCCACAGGATGGTGCTGGTTGTGACCT